TGTTAAAAGTCTTCTTTTTTTTTCATTTCTTTCTTTTGCAATCATTCTTGTGTATATACTAGATTCATATGCTCTCTCTCTGGCATTAAAGTGGATATTTGTAAGTATCTAGTACAGTGCTTATCACTATCAGAGTGCTTTGCACATGATAAGTCCACAATAATTCATCAAATGAATTAAAACTCTCTGTAATTTCTATGTGTGATATATTTGACCATGGAGTAGGACAAATATAAATTATTCTTCCTGGAGTATTTAACAGCAACCATTCCTTACAAGGTGATATAATTTTATTCAAATAATTCATGCTTAGGACTTCTGTCCTTTAAAGAGCATGCTTTTTTTTTTTTTTTGCACAATGGGTATTATTTATTAGGAAAATGTAGGAAGGACCACACTACAGGGTCCTAAATGACAATATGAAAACTCATACATTTTTTTAGAGAAAATCAGATACCCCATGCTCACCTGGCTCATGTCATTATGGTAATCCACTACATATGTCTAAGATTACTTAACAATGGAAGAATATAGTGCATGTGTGGGCTGAATTCTGTAAATAGGATTAACAGTTGAATTCAACCTAGCCCTTCCCTGGGGACAGATTGCTAGAAGATACATCTACATGACATTAAAAAAAATAAATTAACCAATGACATTGGCTCCCATGAGACACATTGTTTCTTGTATATTCAATTCAATTATACATTTCTGTAGCTCTCTGTTGATACCACCATCCCAAAAGACATAGAATTTCAAAATAGAAACAAAAACAGAACAACTGAAGCTATTCTGTCTCTCCTGCATGAAGTGTTATGTACACAAAGGAAAATTTCTGTACATTAGCACAATGTGAATGGTGACATGGTGAGATCCTGTCAGTCTGAACTGTGCTTGTTACCCTGTGGTCACATATAACTTGCCCAAGGGAGAAGAACAAAGTCTCTTTCCCTGCACATTAACGAAGACTGGCGGGGTCTGCAGGAAAATGAGAAAAGCTGTGTTATGGCAGACAGTTTGGATTTTTTCTCTTAAAAAATGTTCTTTATTACTTTTTTCCTTCCCACTTTTAATTAATTTTCCTCATCTGTAGTATAAAGATAACTTTTATGGATTTAGCATATTTACTGAGGATGAAATGAAATACTAGTGGGTTGCCTGGCACATAATAGTTAACACATACAATCCAGTCCACATTTGGCTAGCATTAACTAAACAGTTATTATGTGCTAGGCAGTGGCCTAAGACTCCAAAAAAAAAAGTAAATTGTAGGAGCATGAAGTGATGTTGGAGACAAAAGCAGAGGGCTGATTTTCTAAGGTTTTATAAGCCAGTCTAAGAAGTTTGGAGTTTTTTTCTTGACAATGGGCAGCCTTTGAACTACTTTATATAGAGTCAGATAGCTTCAGATTTGCAATGTAGAAAAATTATTCTGTCTGCATTGCTAGAAAATGCATTGCAAGGGCAGCAAGCTAGAGGCAGCAGTAACCCAGACTATAAGTAATATGTGTGTGTGTGGCGCAGGGGTGTGCCCCAAACTAAGGCAATGGTAATTAAACACTGGACATGGGGAAAACATTTTAAAAATAACTTAAAAAATTAACCAATGTATGATTATAGATTAGAAAATAAAAACATGTGAAAGGTTAAAAATAGAACTCATATCACCTTAAGACTTATAGCAAACCTCTATGAATTCTTTTGTGTTTCACATTATAGGATTTGTCCTATTTATGCATGCACAGATGTGTGCATGTGTGATACGTCCGTGTATTTAAACAGGGATCTGACAACTTAATAAGCTGAATTTTCTCTTAATATAATATAAACAACTTTCCACATCATTATATATTTTTGGTAACATCAACTTACATGGTTACATAGTAATTCATTTTATAGATGCACTGTAATTGATTTAATTTAAACCTCTCCTATTCCACATCCAAAATCTTATTTTTTTCTTTTATGGTTTTACTATTATAATTTTTTTGTTTTTGCCATTTTAAAAGTATCCCAAGAGCTAAATTTTTGGAAAATCACATCTATTCCCTCAATAGAACACAAAAATTGTAGGTTGAAAGCTATGTTAAATTTTAATTTTTTGACACATATTGACAAACTGTTCTCTAGAAGATGTATCAAATTACAGTTTCAGCCCTGGATGGTGTGGCTGAGTGTATTAAGTGCTGGCCTGAGAACCGAAGGGTTGCTGGTTTGATTTCCAGTCAGGGCACATGCCTGGGTTGCAGGCCAGGTCCCCAGTAGGGGGCATGTGAGAGGCAACTACACGTTGATGTTTCTCTCCCTCCCTTCCATTCTCTCTAAAAATAAATAAGTAAATAAATCTAAAAACATTAGTTTCACTAGCGGTGTCTATGAGTAGGAGGAGATGGTTTGGAGTGATTTCAAGGACAGAGTCAACTGGACTTAGTTGGTGAAGAGGAGGGATGTATCCTTGGCAGAGTATCAGAGCAGGAACAATGTAAACTCTGTTAAAAGGAGCAGAACAATGGGTAGGCCTAAGGAATAGATGACTGGGTGGATAATTGATGAGAAAGAGAAAGGTAAGGTAACTACAAGAGAATGGTGGAAAATGAAGAAAAGAACAAGAAACTTCTAGTGAAGTCATGCATTCATGTCACTTTAACTTACTACTTTATTCAGTGAAAGTAGCAAATGTAGCAAACAGCTACTCTTTTTGTAGCACTTGCCACTACAAGGTCCAGAGTTATATTCATGTGAATATGTTGGACCATTTTCATCCAATAATAATTTATTAGGTGTCTACCATGTGTCAAGTGTTGTTCTTGATGCTATAGGTAAGAAGATGAATGAGCTGATTCCTGCTCTCAAGCTCACAGTCTAGGGGGGACACAAGCATCCACAGACTGACATACTACAGTTTGGTACAGAGTAGGACAGAGTTAAGTGCAGGGTCCTTTTGAAACCAGAAGCCTAACTTTGCTTCATGTATGCATACATGTGTGTGGGGTGGGGGGGAGTGGTGGCTGCAGGAAAGGCCTCATTGAGTCCTGAAGGGGGAAGAGTTCCTCTGATAGCTAAGAGTAACAGACCATACTCATATTCTTTATCAGCATCTTGAGTAATTTTGCTACTGCTCTCAAGGGCACTCAACAAGACAGTGAAGATACCTGCATACATCCAAACCCATTTATGACAACAGTCTCCACTGTTACCTTAGTGAATATGTATATGTACACAGCTTGTGTAGGCAATAATATGCTCATCTTAGAATATAAAGGACAACAAACAAATGGCCTTTAAAACTTTAAAATCATTTTCATGACACTATTAGAATAATATTCATATCTACCAACTCCTACTAATCCTGCCTGCTAAATGGCTGTAAAATCTGTTCCCTCCTCTATGTTGCATCCTCAGCTCATTATCATCTCTCTCTGGAACAGAGTACCAGCCTCCTAACTGGTCATGTGTACCTCCAGTGTATTCTAAGGTGAAAACCTGATCATGGTGCTCTTCTTCTAAAACATTTTAATGCTTTTTTAAATTGCCTATAGCAGTAATTCCTAAATTTTTGTCACTTAAGTATCACTTGGTGATTCTCCCACATTCATATAGCACATATAGTTAACATGTATCTTTAAACCAAATTAAAATTGATTCAGTTTTTATTTTTACTAAGCCATATCCTAAGTAACCTTAGATTTGATGATGTAATGCAATTTTACCCTTTATAAGACATATTAGAACATATAATTAGTAAAATGCAAAACACTTGTGGGAGTATAGCATAGCCATTGATGGCAGATACTTTACATTTTGAGAGCCACTGGCCTGTAGGAGGACATCCATACTTAGCCATGCATTCGGGGTTCTTCATATCAGCCTCAACCTATCTTTCCAGACTCTTCTATCACTATACCTTCCTTTTCCCAAACTATCTGCACCCCAGCAATGCTAAATTCCTCAATATTAAATGGCTATACATTGCTCTTATATAACCACATCTCTTAAAGACTTCTACCTCTATCTGAAATGCCTCCCCTCTACCCTTCTTTACCTGGCAAATTCATTATCCTTTAAGACTCATGTCACATCCTCACAGAAGCCTTCTCCCTTTTAGTTAATCACTCCTATTATCCTTCCATAGCACTTTGTACCTTTCTCTGTTATACTGGCACACTACATTATCTCAAAATTATGGGCCTCTACCTTAGTTGCCAACTAGAACCACGGAGAGCTCATACCAATAGTTCATTTGGGCAAGGGTCCTAAAAGAGACCTAGTGACACAGGTCACTTAAAAGAAAACCTAAATTAAAATAAAACCCAAAGTACTGTCCAGATCCAAATAGCTTAGAGGTATGACATGTTTTATAAACAGAATCATCTAAATCAGAAATAGCCATACTGACTATAGTTTTGGCAGACACAATTTAGCTACAGCTGCAATAGCAGTTAAGCTAATTTAGTTTTGGCACCTACTTTATAGCAGACATATATTGACATAGAAACTAAGAGTGAATCATTTGGTTTTCTGCCAGGATGATAAACTTTACCTCGCAAAAATCTCTCCTTACCACAAATGGAAAGTCAAAGATAAATGTTAATGATAGGACCATCAAACCATGGTAGACACAGCCTGGGCTCTATAGTCAGACATCTGTACACCCCAACTCCACTCATTACAATCTATATGACTTTAGGTAGGTTGTTTAACTTCTTTGCATTTTAGTTTTCTATTCTAAAAAATGGAAAGAACAGTATTTATTTCATAAGACTGTTCAGATAATGCAACAAAATGCTTATGATAGTGCCTGGAACATTATATGGACTCAATAAATAACAGTATTTTTATACACTGAAATGACTACAATTCAGGTGATGGACACCAAATGCATTTCTTCAGAAAATAAATTTGTTACCAGGCTTTAAAACTGACAACTATAGAGTGTAGGTAGAAAGAGCCACAGACAAAAACAGTATATATGACAAAGTTCTTCTGGTATTTAAACTCACACTTGGAACTTGCCACCACACTTCTTTGGGTTCTCCAAGAATTGATCTCAAATCAGGTTCCCCTAGGATGAAAAAAAAAATCATCCAATCTTAATTTTTTGTATTTCATTTTATTTGATACAGAATAATATCCAAATCATGTGGGTGCTTCAAAGGATCCTCTTATTATGATTCCGTGCTTTTTAATACCATTTTCCCCTAATATATCACTGCTGATACCATTTCTTTTTTTTTAATGGAATTTATTGGGGTGACACTGGTTCACAAAATCTTCGGGAAGAGACTGCTTTGGGTGATGTGCGTACAATGCAGTGTGCGGATGATGTTTTGTTGAACTGTGCACTTAAAACCTGCTGACACCCTTTATTCCATTCAGGCAAGCCCACTTGTCACCCAAGTGCTCCCTCCTTTATCTACTCTTCTCAAATTCCAATCCCAATACCAGGAATAATTTTCTCCTTCTGTTTTTCCCACTTCAAATATCTTCTGAAGGCTAAGTTAAAATTCACCTTCTTTACAAAGACCACCAGGATTGATCTGAAGTCAGATGAGTTTCAAGCCTTCAGCATTTCCAGGGTTTGGCTTGACCCTCCACAGGTACCTATTCCACCAATATCCCCTTCCACTAATCCCTCAGCACTTTTGCATCCATTTATAATAATAAAATCATTAATAGAGTGTTTTGAGTATTTTGCACAGCCTTTTTTATTTTCTAGTTACTGTGCTACATAACAGTTTGTCTACATTAGTGCTATCTGTCCTTGCTGGAAACCCCTAATGTGCAGTGTTTCAAAAATAGGTCTATCTTGCCTTTTGCTCTCATCAGAACATTGAACTGAATCTTAACCACATATCTCAAAAGTGAGATTCTTTTCCTCTTCTGTTCCCTATCCCTTCTGAAAATTTGAAGGGACCCTGTTTTCACTCCAAAGACCTGGTTAGGGAAAGAAAGGGTGGGTGGTTGGATGGGGCCAAAAAAGTTTTCACACAGCAAAGGAAACCATCAACAAAAGAAAAAGAGAACCCACAGAATGGGAAAACATATTTGCCAATACATCTGACGAGGCAGCTAATATCCAACATTTATAAAGATTTTGTAAAACTCAACACCAAAAAACCAAACAACCCAATTTAAAAATGGGCAAAGGACCTGAATAGATGCATCTCCAAAGAAGACATACAGATGGCCAATAGACATATGAAGAGATGCTCAATATCACTAATCATCAGAGATGCAAATTAAAACCACAATGAGATATCACCTCATACCTGTCAGAATGACTACCATCAATAAATCATTAAATCAGAGGATGTGGAGAAAAGGATGTGGAGAACCCTCATGCACTGTTGGTGAGAATGCAAATTGGTGCAGCCACTGTGGAAAACAGTATGGAAAGTCCTCAAAAAACTAAAAATGGATATGCCTTTTCACCCAGTGATTCCACTACTGGGAACATATCCGAAATAACCCAAGACACTAATTCAAAAGAATATATACATCTCTATGTTCATTGCAGCGTTATGGGCGCAGCCCAAGCACCCAACAATAGATGAGTGGATGAAACAACTATGAGACATTTATTTACACAATGGTACACTACCCAGCTGTTAAAAAAAATACCCTTTGCAACAGTATGGATGGACCTGGAGAACATTATGTTAAGTGAAATAAGCCAAAGACAAATACCATACGATCTCACTCATATATGGAATCCAACTAACAAACTGAACTAACAAGTGAAATAGAGGCAGACTCATTGATAGAGAGCAGGTTGACAGCTAGGAGGGGTTTAGAGGGTGGAGAAATGGAGTATAAAAGAAAAAGGACACAAGGGCATGGACAACTGTGAGGTAATGATTGGGGGGAGGGGTGATGGTCGAAGAGGGTATGGGGGGGGATAAATGGTGGTGGAAAAAATACAGCAAAAATCGCCAAGAAAAAAAAAAGAGATGGCAACAGTGTTTCTCACCCTCAAGGAGGCAGAAAGTGAAAATTGGACGAAAGTCATGCCCTGGGCCTGGCAAGGAATTCCCCAGTCTCCAGAGAAAATGGGAAACAGGGGTGTGTACCCAAACCTGATAAGTCAATGGAGGGAACAGAGAGATCACCCAAGTCCTCCAGAGACATTAAGGAGAGTCCAGGCGTCACCTAAGGCAGGCCCTGGTTGAGAACCCTAACTTCAGACCTCTGAAAAGGAACAAGGCAGGGGTGGGGGTACATGGACGAAAAAGATTGCCGGCAGGTTGGGGAAAAAAGGAGAGAGAAAGAGCGCGCTTACTCCTCGATGAATCTGGTAAAGAGCTCAGAAACCCACCCCCCTCGCAGTTCCTACGCCCTCTCCTCGCGTTAGAGGAGGAGCTGGGCGGAGTTAAGCACAGCGGGGCACCAGTCCCGGAAGCACCACTCTCCCTAGGCTCCCTCGGTCCCATAGTCACCAGCCACAGCTACTCAGGCTTTCTGCCTCTCTGACCTCCATCTCCCTGGCTGCTGAAGCGCTACTCCTTATACAGCCGCAGAAAATAGGACCAGTGCGGCAGCTCCTGGGTGAGAAGTGCTCTCGCTGCGCCACGCGCCACGGAACAGTCTTCTGAACTCCCCGCCTTGCTATAGCCGTTTAGAGCCCAGCACGCATGTCGAAGGCAGAACTCTCATCTACTCTGGCGTCTCCTATTGGTTATTGGTCACCGGAAAAGCTGGAGGCCCAGTCCTTGTCCTCATGGGAAATGTAGTTTAAAGTCACTGGAGGCTCTTCTATCTTTGGAGAATCCGATATACGCATTGGTGGAAAGACTTAGGTGAAGACAGAGGATTGTGGGAGATGAAGTTGAGATGCTAGTTTCTACAGTACTCGCTATTCCCACCGTCGGTACTCACTGGATGTTATTGTGCCCAAAGTTCAGACAGAGAAGGGTATGCTGGATGTTGTAGTTTGGAGTGCACTGGCCAACAGCATCTCCCTTCTTGAGTTATGGGGTTGTGCTTGTGGGGGCAGATGAAGGTTCTAGATTTATTTTATTGTTGGTTAAGCTATTAGGATTTGGGGGAAAACACTTCATATCGTGATTTGAAATTCTCATTAAGTTTTGATTGAGTGACATTATGGTATTTATGCTCTGATAAGCTTATGATTTTAACTGGTCCTTTAAAACTGTCAAAATCTGTTCTCTATGAACCATCTTCATTAGAATCACTTAAAAGGGTCTGGAAAATGTATATTTTTTTCTAATTGGGAGTCATTGTTTTCCTTTGAAATGGTGTCATACATATCAAACATGGAAATGTGATTTAAGCCAGCCTAAAAGAAGATGGGCACTCATTAACCCATACCTACTGCACTTAACCCATGCCTACTTAACCCATAATGAAGCCACCTTGTTGCCATGAATAACAGTGGCCACATATATTGCTGTGATGCAACAATTTAGAACAGATAGACAATACAGCTTGAGTAATAATAAATAACTACATTTCTTTAAATAACTATTGTTTTTTTAGTAAAATTATGTTACAAGAGGTAGATAAAGAAATAAATGGGACACCTAAATACTTTTTTAAAATGTGAAGGCTGAGTGCAATGGTTATTTATTAGGGCTAATTTCACTTCTAATTTTTTACTTTTCTTTCTAGGTGAATCCTTATAGCTGAATGGATTGTTATTGTGTTGCTACACTTCTACTGGTAAGGACAACTGTTAGATTAACAAATGGAATGAAGGGAAAGAAAGAAAAATTGCATTTTCCTAAGGTAGTTGCCAAAAATTAAGGAGAAAGAGAAGAGAAGTTAAGGAAGAAAATGATTTAATATATTCAATAGTTTATTTTCTAATTTTATGGCAATAGTCCCTAGGCCAGTCCCTTGCACAAAGCAGTTACTTTGTGCAAGGGACTGGCCTAGGGACTATTGCCATAAAATTAGAAAATAACACTTTCTCTCAAGTACTTTGCAACCGAAGTGGGGAGATAAAATATACAGTGTGAAAGTGTTGTAAAGAAATCTACATAGGCTTCTGTAGGACTATAGAGAAATAAAAATTAATTCTACCTATTGAGAAACCCATGCTTGAATGATGAGACTTGAAGAACCAGTAGGATAGTTATCAGATTTGGGGTAGGAGCAGTGAACCATATTCCATACATAGAAATAAGGACATAAGAGGGTTTAGGGGACAAAAAATGTTACATATTGCAGGAACTTGATCAGATATGAATAGGGATCATGCCAATGTGCTAGAAATTTAACCCGAAAGCAGCAAAGAACCATCAAAGGATTTTAAGCAAGGAAATGGTAGGATCACATGGATTTGTTGATACTTTAGATATGTATAGTAAGGGAAGGGAAAGGAAAAAGTCTATTGTGAGTCCCAAATTCTGATTTGGAAGGCTGAGGGGTAGTACTAGTACCATTGATTCAGATAAGGGATCCAAAAATTTGCACATTTTGTAAGGGATAAGAGGAATTCTGTTTTGAACATTTAAAATTTAAGAAGTATGTGGAACATTTGGGTGAAGATGCCTGGTAGGCTGCAAGAAAATATAGGTCTGAAGTTCAGGAGAAAATTGTGGGCCGGAACTAAACATTTGGGAGACATCAGTTTATAGATGGCAATTAAATAAGTAAAAATGGATTAAATTTCACTTAGAAAGTATTTAGAGTAGTATTTTTAAAAGAACAACAAAAATTAAGTGTGGAATCCTAGAAGATAACAATATTCAAGTAGAAGTTATAGGAAGAAATACCTTCAAAGGAAGCTGAGAATGAATAGCCAGATAGATGAACCATGAGAAAACAAAGTAGAATTACTGGAATATAGCACAGAGAGGTCAAGTAAGAGGACAGAATAGTAATGAGGAACTACTCATTCATTCATTCAAAAAATATTTATTAACTATCTACAACATTCCATGCATAATTCTATATGTGGGGATGGAGAAGTAGAAAAAACAAGTAACATCCTTCCCTCTGGAGCTAATATTTTATTAGGGAGAAACTATTAATAAACAAGATTAATAATTCAAATGCTCAACTGTGGCAGCTAATATTTCTGCAAGGCTTATTAGAATGTGTGTGTGTGTTTATACATACAAAGATGAGACTCTTGACCTAATTAATGTTGATAGAAAGTATGCTTAAAAATATATTCAGAAAAAGTACATGAGTATAAGAATATGAATTTGTGAAATAATGGCCCAGAGTAAATCTGTCTGTCTAGATTTATAGATCAATTATTAGGCCAAGGTTAACACTCTATGGAGGGCCAGTGTACAGCGCAAGTCCTAGCTGGTTATCAGGTTTATAATGTGGAATAATGTGTTTGGCTTCAGTCTTTGCTTAGGTTAAGACTGAAGGTAAGTCAATCTGTTGCTATCTTTATAAGTATGAATCCCTGTTTAGATAAACATGGGACCAAATTTAGGGCTCATCTTGATATCAATGTTAGGCCCGAGTTATAGTCATGGTTCAATCTCTGACAAGGATCAGAAGGCATTTTTGACCAGTGTGAAACCTCACTCTGAGACTGCCATTAGTTCAATATGACCTGTATTAAGCCTCATTGTGAAGTCAATGTACAAAATTTGGGACAGTCTCCCCTCAGTATCCACTGGAGATTGGTACTCCCACTTGGATACCAAAATCCATGGAAACTCAAGTCCCTTGTATAAAATGTCATTATATTTGCACATAACCTATGCATATCCTCTCATATGCTTGAAAGCATCTCTAGATTGCTTATATTACTTAATACAATATAAATTCTATGTAAATAGTTGGTGATGGGCCCTAGAGTTCTGTCATAGAGCAAAGTTAGCATTTCATGTGTGGGCAATATTATAGTACACATTGTGGTCAGGACTTCACCTATAGATATAAAAAGGATTTGTAATGAATATTTGGCTAGAGTAAGTTCAAGGTGTGGTTTCTGACTTCAGTCAATGTCAGGGCTCTGTATTTGTCAGTAGCCCATATCAAGAGTGGCCTGTGGAGCTAAGTAGTAGTAGCTAGTTTTGTACCTAATTCCATGGCCAGAGCATAGCTCAGTCAGTGACCTGTGTTAGCATTTTTACTTGGCTTCTGTAAGAGTTGATTCTGCTGGTAGTGGTTTCATTTTGATTTTGTATAGAGTTCTGTTCACTGAGTTCTGGTATTGGTGCTATCTGATTAAATTTTATTTTATTTTTCCATTAACACTACAGCTTTGAAAAATCCAGATATTCCTCCAGGACAGTGCAAGATGGCAAAGGAGTGAATGGA